CCCAGCGCCTGCCCAGAGCCCCAGAGCCGCAGTGCCCAGAGCCGGCCCAGAGCCGCAGTGCCTGGAACCGTGCAGGTACCCAGAGCCGCAGTGCCCAGAGTTGGCCCAGAGCTGCAGAGCCGCAGTGCCCGGCGCCGTGCGGGTATCGAGGGCCCCAGTGTCCAGAGCCCGCCCAGAGCCGCAGTGCCCGGAACTGTGCGGGTACCCAGAGCCGCAGTGCCCAGAGCCGCAGTGCCCGGCCCCGCGTGGATATCAAGGGCCCAGTGCCCAGAACCTGCCCAGAGCCCCAGAGCCGCAGTGCCCAGAGCCGCAGTGCCCAATGCCATAGAGGTTCCCAGAGCTGCAGTGCCCAGAGCCGGCCCAGAACCGCAGTGTCCAACACCATGCAGGTGCCTGGAGCCAGCCCAGAGCCCCAGTGCTTGACACTGTGAGGGTGCCCAGAGCCGCAGTGCCCAGAGCCAGCCCGGAGCCGCAGTGCCTGACGCCGTGAGGGTGCCCAGAGCCGCGGTGCCCGGCGCCAGCCCGGAGAGCAGTGCCTGACACCGTGAGGGGGCCCAGAGCCGCGGTGCCCTTCAAGGGCCCGCGGAGCAGGGCAGCCCTGCCTGATGTGGGGGGTCAGCGCGAACGTTCCTCTGCAGTGGCTGGAAGCCCAGGGACAAGGCGTTGAGGTGCACCCCATTGTGTGGGTGTTCATGGGCAAAACCCCCCCAGTCAAGGTCTCGAGCAGCTTGTTCCAGCCATGATGTTAACCCTGCTTGGAGGAAGAGCTTGAACTGGAGCCCTCCAAAGCTTTGATGTGGAGGCTACGATTCAAATCCAGAGGTTCACCAGAGCTCAGTGGGCGGTAATTTCCTACAGGCTGATAGGAAAACACTGTCACCTCCATCACCTGGCTGATCACCTGTGTGCACCCACAGGAACTGGACAACTCTCCCCACGTGATGTTATAACTCTGCACGGAGGTAATTCAGGGAGCCCATTGCTTCCTGCTTTGCAAGGCGATAACAAGACCACAGTGCAGGAGATAAGGACCTCTTATGTGTCCTCAAATGGACCTGCAGTGATGCAGGAAAGTGGGATTACATGTGAACCATGTCCCAAGTGGCTCCGGTCCCGTCGTGGCAGTGGTCTGTCTGACCCATAGTGAAAAGCAGCCATAACGGGTCTGGTTTCAAGGTCAGACAGCAAGGCTGGGCAAAGGTCAGAGGGGCAGGATGTTCAATTAAATCTGCTTAAAAAAATAAATAAAAATCCAACTTTCCAGATGCCTCTGTGGAGAGAAAAAAAAACCTAAAGCTGAGCGCATTAGGGTGTTACAGGGTGCCAGGCTGGGGGCCGAGCACTACCCCAGCAGCAGAGGTGACTCCAGCTCAGCTGTTCCAGCTGCATCCGATCCACAGGGATTGAGGTTGCCTTTTCATGTTCCTTACGGGACAGTTGGCCCAGCAGAAATCCTGGTGCCCGCGGGTCCGTGACAGCGAGTCGGGGCTCTGCGTGATCTGCTTTGGACCATGGAAAGGGGATGGAGCTGTCCCACCTCCACTGAGATCAACTGTGGCTTGGAGGAGAGGCCAAGGAAACACTGAAGAAGGAGGAACACCATCCCCTTGCACCATGAAGGCCTTGAGGCGCAGTTTCAACCCATCCCATCAGACAAACTGATGTCGGGTTGCTGCGGGGCAAGTCCATGCCTATTCACACAGAGGAAGAGGTCCCCACCTTCACCTGTAGGAATTTCATTGGGCTACAGAGAGGAGGATTAAAATATTGAGTGGGAGAAGTGGAAGATGGCGTGGCTGGGAGGTTGACCCTCCTGTCTGAGTGCCACATGTGCTCAATCACACAGCTGACCAAAATAGTGTCACCATCTGGTTCTAGCTGCCCAGGGATGCAGGATCCTCTCCAGCCCCTTCTGTGATTACAAAGAGTGAATTTTTGCATGAACTCAACCTAACTCTCCATTTCTTCTTCTTTTTTTTTTTAATAATAATTCAGGTTTGTTTCTTAGAAAAGAGAAAGGGAGATAATGTCTGCAAAGCATTTAATCTTCGGACTGAAGAATAGCAGAGAGCAAATTAGGATCTACTCCAATTAATTTGCCTTGATGGGCTAAATCTGGAGAGCAGCCATATCTGGGAATTAAGAACAAAAGCGGGGAATGTAAAGTAGGTCGCTGGAGTTTCATAACCAGAGCAATGGGCTTTCACAACACACTGGATGCTCACCGGTGCTGAGCGCTGCCAGGCCCTGTCTCCCACAATCCAATCCCAAGGGTGAGCTGCAGATGGCCCTGGGGCTGCTGTAAATGTTTACCTGCCAAGGAGCAGGAAATATCAGAGCTGGGATTGGGATTTCAAGGGAAAGGATGGCAGGCAAAGGTCATGGGAGCAGCCAGTGGCTGTGTCTAATGCAGGAATGGAGCAAGGTGATGGGGAAGAGGAAAGATTGACCAGCAGCAGCATGACCTCCCCAGGACAGTCTTTCCGCAGAAGCATTTTTGCCCTGGTACAGATTGCAGACAGTGCTAGGGGGAAAAGTCACCTTTGGTCCTGCAGGCAGGTCTGGTTGGCCATATCCTGCCTCTTCCTGAACTGGAATGGGCTAGCAAAGACACAGGCAGTATTTAATGTCCATTCCCAACATCAGCATGCTTCAGGTCAGTGGGTTTGACTGAAGCAAAGCAGTTTGACACATGTCAGGGCAGGTGACTGTGGTGATGCTCTGGAAGAGCATTGCTCTGATGGGCTTATACATCCCTGGGTACCCCCTTTACCTGCCAAAGACTGGGAAACATCAGAGTTGGGTTTGGGATTTCAAGGGAAGGGCTGGCAGCCTCCAGCCAACATGAAAGCGAGCAGTGACGGAGCAGACTGCAGCAGCTGGCACGTGGCCAGCACCTTGGGTGGCTGCTCCAGGTCTCCAGAGGTGCCACTGGACGAGAGCTGTCAGGGAGACGAGTGCTGTGCTGTATGTGGGCGGCTGCCCGCCCAGCGCTTATCCTCTTAGCCATCCTGCAGGGATCCAGCACTAATTCACCCTTAAACACAGGATTGTCAGAAATTGGAAATGAAAGAATAGGCAGATTATCCACATGTTGGCTGCTTTAACCACAGGGAGAAGGCAGCTGCTGGGAGAGGAGAGCCAAGAGGGTGCTGCGCCCCTCTGAGCTGATGTCACAGGGACCTGGCCTCTTCTGGGCTCCCCAAGAGTCCCCTGGGCATCCCATCGTGGTGTTCCCATGGCCATGGCCACCAAACAAGGGGCTCACGGGTGACAGCTGGGTCGCTCCCACAGTCCATCGTCACTTCTGCCTGTGCTATGTTTTGTCCTTCCCAGACAGCAGCTGTGGGTCACCCCCCCAGAGCCAGCTCTGGGCTTGCTAATGAAATAAATGGCAGGTTATGACACGCATGTATTAATTAAAAGCGCTGGAACTGCTGGCTCTCTCACTGGAAAGTCTTAAAACCAACAGATGTTAGACTAACATCTGGCTAGGAGCCCATGCGGGAGCGGGGCTGGGCTGGCCAGTGCTGGGATTGGCTGCAGGAGCTCCAGGCCAAACATGCCAAACATGCCAAACATGCCTCCCCTCCCCGACATGCCTGGGCTCCGTGTCGGATGCAGCTGGTCTTCCAGTCCTTCCCGAAAGCAGAGAGGGACCCAGTGCTGTGAGGATAGGCTGGAAAAAGGGGAAGGCAGCCAGACGGCCAGCCCCGCTGGCTGAAATGTGGCTCCTGCAATCAGGGAGAAGGGGATTGCTACCTCTCCAACAGAAGCTTGGGGAGCAGCAGTAACCACTCAGCCTTTCCATAGCAGATGTAGATGTATCACAGCACAAACTTCCAGGGAGCATTTACAGGCTCAGTGCTTTGGCATGGGCACTGAGCAGCTGGACCAATGTACAGAAGGAAGAACTGCATATTTAAGTGCATAACTAGCTGGCCAAGCTAGTGTTTGCCTGTACGGACTGTGTCTGTCATAGCCATGATGCACCTCCATGGAAAGATTGGACTTAGAAGGAGGAGACTTTGCAGTTTCTGTAACAAAATGAAAAATAATTTTGCTTGGCTTGATAAAGATAGCAGTGATTAGATTCTGACTCTCAGATACAGGCCTCTAGGATAAAAAAGACTGCTTGTAGGAGCTGTTGGACTCTTACATGCAAAATTTTGTGCTAAGAAATAAGAAAAAAAATACAGAAAAGGAGATGCTAGCCACAGGCAAAACAATAGAAGCTCAGCACAATGTATTTAGGGTCGCTGACACAGCTTACCCAAGCACAGCAGCAGATTAAGCAGCGCTATCTTCTGAGTTTTATCCGTAGCTAAAACACCATCACTGTCTGCATTGCCAACTGTGTTAGTCCCTCCTTGATTCAAACAGAAAGGAAAGAAGGGCTCGATGGAAAGGAGACAGCTCTCCTTGTGCTGTACGTCCAGTTTCGCTGACACCAGAAGTTAAAACAGCAGTGCTTCATATCCCTGCAAACCTCACTTTCCTTGATGCCCATTAAGATGTGGCAAAGTTGGACCAAAATAAGAGAGGGAGAAAATGGGAATATAACCAAAAAAAAAAAAAAAGTATGATGCCATTGGATATGAGCTGCTAATGTAATTGTACATTAGCAGGCAAGCTGATGACTGGAAAAAAATAATAAAGTAAAATGCATGTGCCATGTTTCCCTAAAACATATCTTAAATAAAGCAACTATAGTCCCTATCTTTTTACTGCCTATACGTCTAACCTTGAGGACAGCTGTCTCTCAGGTTAGCTCTGTGGTTTTGTCCTCGGGCATGAAGGGTTCTGAAGCAGGACCCAGCACCAGACCCCAGGATGGAGCACTGGGCATCAGAAGCTCTCCAAGGGCTGGGTCTCAAGCCCAGCTTTGAGCCCTGGGGTGGAGGAGGCCCTGGCTGCTGCTGCCCGTGCGGGCCGGGACGCAGGCTCTGGTTGCCCAGGGCTTGGCGCAGGCCGAGGCGCAGGCGGGCCTGGTGTGGGGCCCCAGCCCCGGCCTGCGGCATGGCCGAGGGTGGCTGCCTCCTGTACGCGAGAAGGCAGGTTCATTACATTAGGGCCAGTCGCAATGGAGAGCCAGAATTCCAGCAAAGCCCTTAATACCCTGTGAGAGGGAATGAAAAATCCCTGGTAATGCCTGGGCCCCTGTCCGGCCAGCTTGCGTTACCTGAGTAGCTTTTAGCTGCCTCCTAGCAGTCCTCTGCTCACTTGTTCCCTGCTAGCCCGGGCACCCTCGGGTGTCCTGTGGGGCTGCTGTAGACAGCCCTGGCCTGGTGGCTTCCCAGGTGAGAGGCTGCAGAGCCTCCTTGCCCACGCACGTGCTCCTTTCACAGCTTCTCCTCGCCCACCACCCTGCAGATCAGGCCAAGGAGTTCCTGCCCTGGACACCCATGTCCCAGGAAGCTTTTCCCATCTTTCTTCTCTGCAGCAGCCCTGGGGAGCAAAAAGGGAGCCCAGGGAAGGGAGTGAGGTGGACCCAAAGCAGAGAGAGAGAGACTGGAGAAATGTAAAAGCATCTTTTAATATAAATATAAATACATCTGAAGGGATCCAGGAGAGACGACGATGCCCCCACAAGACAGGCCTAGTGGTGAGCGCAATGCGAGCACTGAGGCCACAGGATCAGGGACCAAGGGGGCTGTGTTTGCCCTGTGTGGGGATGACAAGGGACCGAGCTCCTGGCAGTGAACCCCATCAGGGACAAGGGTGACCTCACGGACTTCCCTGTCCTTGGTCCCTTGGTTGCATCAGAGCCATCCTCAGTGGCATGAGGGACGCAAGGAGGAGGGAGCCCAAAACAGCCTTGGGAAGAGGCCCAGCTCTGCAGGGCGAGCACAGCCCTTGTCCCTCAGGACAGAGATCCAGCAGTCCTGGGGTCACGGCTCGGAGCGTGGTATGGCAGAGCTGTTGGATGTCTCTAGAGCCAGCGGCACTTGAAGAAGAGGCTGCCTGAAACACACCACTCCTGCCAGGTGGGTGGCAAGGCAACGACTCCACCTCCCTGCCGCCACAGAGGTGATGCTCCTGCCTCCTCATCAAACAGCTCCTGGGGTTGTCCTGAGCTGGGCTGGGCAGAAAGGGGTCCCGGTGCTGCCACAGGGCTAGATCCAGGGTGCCAGCAGCGGCAGGGCTAGCAAGGGCAGGAGGCAGAGGCGCATGGGGGTGGCTGAGCCCCTCAGGGTCTCCTGATTGGTCTCAGCAGCTGGAGAGCCCTGGGCACTGGCCAGACGGGCCCGGGCCCGTGCGTTGCAGAGCTCGTGCAGGTTTCCCTGGAACTGGATCTTGCGGGACTCCTCCCGCAGCGACTCCCAGATGGCAGCTGCCTCCTCGGGGCAGCTTGACAGGACCCCGCTGGCGCAGGCATGAAAGTCGTCCCAGGACCTGGGAGGAGGAGACAGGAACGTGGGGGAACCTGTCAGCCACAAGGAGCTTCCATCCATGCCCCGGGCCACCCCACTGCCGCGCAAGCACAGGGCAGCCGGGCCCGTGGCCCACTCACTTGCAGATGGTGTCCAGCTCCTGCACCTCCTGGCCACTCTCCTGCTGCTGGACGCTCTGTGCCATGCTGTCCCCCAGGCTGATGAGGCAGCCCGCGAAGCCCTTGTAGATGGTGTCACACTTCCCTGCCATGCTCACGGGTTCCTGGTTCATGACTGCAGAGGGGACAGAAAAGCCAGAGCTGAAGCTGCCTTCTGGAATCCTCCAGCTGGCTATAGCTGTGACACCAAGTCCCCCCACAGTCCTCAGGACTGTCCCTATACAATGCCCCATCCCATGCATAGCTGCTGTAATCACCCATCTCTAGGCATATACTCTGAGCTGGGTAAGGGTCCACAATCCCCCTCTCTCACTCCTCCAGGCATCTTGGCATCCTCTCAAGTGCCCAATGCCAAGCAGGGTAACAAGGCAAGGAAGGGCAATCCAAGTCATTCTTGTGTGCAGCCTGAGCCAGACCACATAGTCAGGAACATCCAGGATGGGGAGATGAAAAAAACTACCCTGCTTTGTCTGGGACTCCTGCAAAAAAAAACTACCTAACAGCTGTCAGGAAAAGAAAAATGAGGAAACAAGATGACCACCTTCATGAGGTGACCAACTACTTCCAAAACTCTGTGTCTTTAAGGGACCTGGATGCTTTCATGGAAGGTCTTGTTGTGCTAAAGTGACAATCACCTAGTCAGCACAGCGACAGGTTGTGTTTTTAGGGGGAGAAAGGCAGCCATTGCTGGGATGCCCCACGTGGTATTTGCACATGAAGCGAGAGTGGATTTCTTTGGAGCCCTCAGAATGGAATCCTTCCTCTAGCAGAGTCTTTGCTCCTGGCCTGGGAGCAGAATGTGGCACCACCCGATGATATCGCCAGTGCTGCTGCCATTAGCTGTACCCGCGTGGCAGCGCGCTGGCCCACTTTGCTTCGGGCCTCCTAGAGATCCTTCAGAGCCATCTGTCCGGCCTTATTATCCCCGGGCAGCGAAGATTAATTTGTGACTACAACACACACACACACACACAAAAAGGACTTGAGTAGCTAAGCAAGCTGAGGTCCTTGCTCTAAGAGCAACCTTCACATAAGGAAAATAAAAAGGAGGGGGAGGGAAAGGAAGGGCACAAATGCGACTCCAACTGATTCACCCTTGTTCTCTACAGTGCTCGTCAAGGGATGACCAAAGAGAACGGTCAAACCCTGGTGCCAGTTGCAGGATGACGGGCGATGGGGCATATCTAGGACTAATTGCTAGTGCTTCCACAGCCAGGAGAAAAGGAAAAAGCTTCGTGATGTGGATGGAATGTGGCTAGGAAGTGCTGAATGCTCGGTTCTGCCAGGGTATGGTGGTGGATTTGCCCCCCAGGGACTGCGTGGAGCTGGGGGTCATCTGATGCTTCTGCTTCCCTCTCCCTGTCACACAAAGCAGAGAGCTCCTCAGATTTCTGGAGCCAGGGCAGACCTGTGTAACAATAATGGGCCAAATCCAGCAAGGAAAACAAAAAAAGCAGGTGGGAGCAAGTGAACCTGCGTTGTGCTGGCACCGCGTTGTGGGGAGACCCCGCTCTGGTCTGTATAACACTCAGGTTCACTCACAGACCCACCAAGTCATGCTAGGACATCACACCAGGACAGACACCAAACCAGGCTGTCAGGGCCTAAAGAAGAGCTGCTCCAGCTCTTTGCAGCAAGAACTGGCTCACTCAGGCTCGCAAGCACCTGGAAGCTGATATAAGTGGACAGTGGCCACCATCCTGGGACAGGCAGAAACGGAAACAAATCCTCTGATGGTGCCCACAGCAGCTCCCAGGGAAGGCACCAGCTCTGCGCTGGTCAGCCAAGGAGGGACAGCTGTCACCAGAGGGACACAGGTATATCTGGGGCCATGTCATGGGAGTCATGAGACTGTCAGGAATGACATGCATGGTGTGCATAGGGGCTCTGTTAAGTTGTAGATGGCTAAAAAAGGCATGAGGTCAGCCCCATCAGAAGCCGTGCTGCCTGGAGGGGGAATCCAGGGGCTGTCATACAGAAAGGCGTCCCCAAAGACAGCCAAAAGCAGTTTTGTCAACTACAAAGGAAGCCAGGACATCTCCAGGGAGCCTTGTGACATGCCGGTGGCATCCCACGCCTGTTCCTCTGGAGTAAGGCACTGAACAACACAGCAGCAGCTGAGACTGGGGCAGGATTGAGTCCAAAATGTCATCCTGTTGTGCACAGCAATGAGTATTTGCAAAAACAAGAATCCCTGATAGCATCCCTGAGAAAAGCCTGATACCGGGTAGATACCAGCCACATGGGTCACATATCCCAGGTGTCAGTGTAACCAACGGGATCTGTTGCTCTTCTTTTGGGCTGGCTGGGCAATAAGTGCGTCAGAGCAACCCGGAGGACACCAGCCCCGGGAAAGCTGCTGAAAAGCAGGTCCAGGCGGGCAGGTGCAGAGATCCCTTCCAGCAGCGAGCCAGAGGGGGCTGTGGGAGTTGGGTCTTTGCCTCCCAGGTGCTCTAACACCTTTGCCTGGGTGCTCCCCTCCACCTCCCTCCCTTGTTGTAGGTTTGGGCTGAGTGAGAGCGACAGGACCAGCACGAAGGAGAAACTAGAAGTACAAACCAGCTCTGCTATCCCATGACAAAAGCCCAAGGCACAAACCTGCTCCCAGCTCTAGCAGGGCAGTACAGCACTTCTGGTACCTGGGAAAAGTCCTAAAGGAAACACCGATGGAGCCCAGGACACTGCCAAGCATCCCTGCCTTCCAAGCGGGCACCAGGGCAGCTGTCTCGCCTCTGGGGAAGGACCGAAATCATTCACCAGCCCCAAGCCGGATGGTCCCCATGCTCCACCCTCAGTGCAGTACCGGACTCCCAGCTCCGTGTGCAAGAGCTCCAAGGCGGATAAGGCCGTGCCTGAAGCATTCTTCCTCGGCTCAAGAAGGATGGGACAACCTGGGGACAGCAGGTTGACACAGGCAAGGTGGGGGCGCCAGCCCGCAGGAGTTGCTGGGATGTCCCCCAGGCCGCTGGTGAAGGAAGGTGGGAGGCAGGAGAGGAGGGAAGTGGCCAGGAGCACAGAGCGCTCTGGGGGAAGGGCTTGCTTGGGGTCACCAGGGCAGGAGAGCCAGAGGCGCAAACCCACCCTCAGCTCAGCGCTTGTCCCAGTGCGAAGAGCCCTGGGAGCAGCAGGGTGATGGCACCAAGCTACTTTCCTCCACGTTCAGCCCTGAGAGGCGGCATAAGCCGGGGTGATCGTTTCAGCCCCGCAGGACCCGAGCGCCCCGCTGTCCCTGGCTCGCTGCTCTCGGCGCCGGGCTGGGGCT